CGGTGCAGTGCCTCCGGCTTCCGTCGATCCAAGTCAAATAGGTAGCTAATAGTACTAACACCAGTACTTCTACGACGCTGCATGGAGAACTGGGCGGGGAACCCATGACCGCGCGTATTACCATACATAGGCTCACTAGGCATTTGCTTGACATAGTTTATAACAGTTGTTCTGGGGAAATGTATATATACTGGGTAGACTAGTTACTACGACAACAGTCCTGAATATTCCTGCCAGGATGAGAGGGCATGTAGGGGTGTCTGTAATTGACGTATCCTGCCTGAGGCGAGAATTAGGGAGAAGGGGAGAGAGATATATTGTTATCGAAATCATTTATCCTCAATAAAAAAAGCTTTTAGTCGTCGCGAGGTCTCATGGCTCGGCTGCCGCGTTACTACCAGTAGTACAGACGTGTTGTACTACTGGTCGGCGTGCTGTGTGTGACCCCCGCCCTGCATCATCTGCCGACACTCCCTGTAGACCTGATGCGTTGCAGGCCAGATAATCGGTGTAGTGTTACGGCTTTATAGCTAGCATGGCGTACGTAAACAATTATTACATGCGCGAAAAAGGAAAGACGTCGTTTCTTAGGGCGACGTTGGAAACCAATATGTTCTTCTGTTGTACGCGCCGATGCGCCGCTGCTGCACAGTTCGTATTGGTTTATCTTTGATTTATTGATTCCACTTCGTCATCGGAACAATTCGTTGTTTAACTTTATTGCTGATGTTATTGCTGATATGATCCTTATTTTTATGCTAGTCTTCTCTCGTCTCGTTTTTAGCTATCGGCTGATGAATTGAGTTACAGAAGAATTGGTGAGGATTGTGCGCGCCAAGAGAGCCCGCCGAGTGGCATAATACAATGAGCTAGTCGTGGTGATGAAGACATAGTTTATCCAGCAAATTCGCAAGGTTTGTATCATGTATGTGCGTTGTTTGTAGGTGTATGTGCGTACGTGCATGACTGCTCCTATGAGTTCGTGTCTGGCCGTATGCTCGTGTATGCGAGCGTGCGAGCGTGCGTGTGTGTGTACTTGTGCCATAGGCAATTGAAAATAAATACAGTGCTATTATTTCTATCGAATTGGGCTCCTGAGAGGAAAACATTTCCTGAAACAGTGTTTGTGTGTCTCTGGGTCTGTGGGTGAGCTTGGTTACTGTGTGTGGGTGTAGTGGTTGCTGTGTGTGGGTGTAGTGGTTACTGTGTGTGGGTGTAGTGGTTACTGTGTGTGGGTGTAGTGGTGACTGTGTGTGGGTGTAGTGGTTGCTATGTGTGGGTGTAGTGGTTACAGAATACAGTGTGTGGGTGTGTGTCTGTGTGCGTGCGTGCGTCTGTGTGCGCTTGTGTACGCGCGTGCGTGTGTGCGTGTGTGTGACAGGTCTGACATAGCTGCACTTAATTGTACCACCCTGTAAATTAAACCACTGGATGACCAGGGGCCCGCTGTCAGAAACAAAATTAGTCTTAACATTAGTCTTAACATTAACCTTTTCTCTTAGACCGTCGACAGAAACGCTGCGAAGTTACCTGAATGAAAAATCGTAGCAGATTTCCTGATAACAATACGAAACAAAGCGCTGTCGACGGTCTACGAGAAAATGTTATTGTTAAGACCTATTGTTAAGACTAATGTTAAGACTAATTTTGTTTCTGACAACGTGCCCCTGGTAACAACCCGTTTACAAGTAACCCGTGGCTAACGAATTGCTCACCCTGAGGTCATGGCTATGGTTAAGGTTGGGGATAGGGTTAATGTTATCGTAAGGCAAGGTCAACTAAAATCCTATTTATAATCATTTCTATCACCCGAATGGCTATACCTTTCATCATTCGCCCATGGCTTGTAATTTTTCTGGATTGCTTCTGCAAGTATATATGCCATTGCCCCCAAAACTGTTAAAGAAAACTGTATAGAAACTAAACTAGAAAAAGTAACAAAACTACATATTCAATTGTTTCAGAAGTAAGGGGTTTTGTGGTGATATTATTTGACGTTGTCATGTCAATATAGAGAGAGTCAGGAAAAATTCCAGGTCGGGCAATAATCCGCTGTGATCTGATACTGCTAGCACGAGAGACGATGACAGTGCCAATGACATTGCTTGTACAAACATGACAGCTGTCTATAGTAAGGGGTGTCTGTGCTGTTTGTGTGCGTGCGAGCGATTATCACGCAATCATATTACAATGCTCTCTCTTATTATCTCTCTCTCGATCTCTCTCTCTCGCACACACACGCGTCTATCAGCCCCAGCAGGTACACAGACACCATTGTTTGAAGCGTATTTACAGAGCTAAATCTTCAACGTTGCCCTCCCCCTTGCTGCTGCTGCTGCTGCTGCTGCTGCTGCTGCTGCTGCTGCTGCTGCTGCTGCTGCTGCTGCTGCTGCTGCTGCTGCAGCAGCTATAACCGGAGCCTCACGAAACAGGACGGTATTCGGGCATATATACCGTTTGCATTTACTGAACTGTAGAAAACGTGTCAGCTATTCAGAGGCAGGCGGGCAGCGACTCTTGTCCGCGGTCGTGGCGCGGTCGTGGCGCGGTCGTGGCGCGGTCGCCGTGTTATCTTGGCTGTCGGTGCGGGATGTGTGCAGCCGTAAAACTGCCCTTTCTTTTAGATGATCGTTGTTTTTTTCCGTGCTTTGAGTCGGCGTCGCGTGCATGAGCCTCTTATGCAACAACCCCGAGCCCCGCTCATATCGTATCGTTGGCAGTATCATTAGTATGTGCGTAGTTATCATTAGTATGTGCGTAGTTATCATTAGTATGTGCGTAGTTATCATTAGTATGTGCGTAGTTACACAACAGCGTAAATGTAAGGTAATGAGATGTAATTATCACAGAGAATGCAACCCATATTTTTGAAGCAACTTAGTTTTCTGGCCACAAATTAGTAGTTCGGATAGTTTGCTAGGGGGGTCGGCATGCCCCGGAAATTTTTTTTAATTCTGAGATGCAACTTTCCTGACATTCTGAGGGTCAAAATGACAAATAAAGAGTAAATTGGACAAAAAATGACAATAATTGACAAAAAAAAATGCTTTTTTGATTCACAGTGAAAATTCTAGTTTGATACAAACTGTTCGTAGTGGGACAAAGATAGAAATTCGTATTCAATACGGGATAAAATCGTAGTGGTTGCATCTCTGGTATCACATCCCAACACCAGTACCGCGGATAAAGATAAGATAATAATATGACAGCGACAGTAATTTGCCCCACACCTGCACAGATAAAGGTAAGACAACGAGATGACAGCATCTCACCCCATGCCAGCAGTTCAAGTAAAAACACGGAAAAAAACTCCGGAAAAAGACGGGGTAGCTACGAAAGGGGCTAAAAAACCCCTCGACACAAACATCAACACTCCTCCAAAACCCTCCCACACGATCCCCCGAGAAACCGAGCGGCGTAACTCAAACCCGACATCGCGACGACCCGTGGCGCCACCGATCGGGAAAAAAAGCAAACTCGCGCCTCTTCGTCGACCGAACGCCCACTGCGC